AGGAGGAAAGCTTAACGCACCGCCATGCTACGCTCGGTTCGTCACGATCTTTGACGTCACTTAACCTTTAGGGTGGCCACTGCCACCGGCCATTCCTGTCAACAGCAAATAGCGAGAACCTAAAGCGGCTCGAATCCCCCCGCCCCCCGCCACGGGTGGGTAGATCGGAAGATAGACGCTCTAACCAACCACGCTATTGGGACGGACAGCGAGAACGGCTGCACTGCCCTTACAAGTCAGCCGGTTCTGGAGATAACGCCGTTAGCAGACATTTCAGTCAACAATGAGCACACCGAACGGATGGCTCCGACTCGTGACCCAACTCTCACTCCAGCGATCTAACCCTCCCCCTCTGCCTCCTCTGCACTCACCGCGCTCCCCGGGCGCGCAGACGGAGAGACAAGATTCCCGGCTGGTGAACATGTTGTCGCCGCTGTCGCAGCCGCGGTAGGTGAAGCTGTCGCAGGAGCGGCGCTCGCGGTTGAAGTAGAAGCGCTGTTCGCCGCCTGACGGCCGACAGCCCAGCAGGCGGCGCGGCGGCAGCTGACAGAACTCCGGCGGACCGCGGTCCTCGCCGCCTGGTGGCAGCGGCGGCGCAGCTGAGCTCCGAGTGGAGCAGCACAGGGCGAGTCCACTAGACGACCGAGTAGGTGAGTCCACCGCCGGGTGAGAGAAGGCGGGAAGAACGGAGCCGTTGACCGACTGCGTGGGTAGTTTCCACAGCAAGAGGATTGGTCAGCCGTTAAGTACAGACTTACTGGTGCTTACTGTGTAAGTAACTGGTGCTTACTGAAAAGACTGGTAAACACGCAATAGCCAAGACAATTTTTTTCCAAAAAAGGAGAGGAAACCACTTTGGCCTTGGTAGTATTGACTATATGTGACTATAGTTCCCACGCCAGGGCGACAAAAAGGGCGGCATGAAAAGGGCTGGCTGACTGTTTTTGCTCGTTCATGTAATAGGGAGTAAGACATGCTGGTCAGCACTCGATAAATACAGCTGCACAAGAGCTTCCTCTTCTAGGTAAAGCCTCGGGGCAATATTTTCATTCACATGGTGAACGTAGAAGCAGTGGGTTATTCACGCCCGTACATGGAGAGGAACACACGAGCTGCCGTGGTAAGAAGGCGACCAGCACATCTGCACCCTCCCCCGCTCTGCCTCTCTCTCCCCCTGCCCCGCTCTGTAAGCCTCACCTTGGCTAACGTCCCCGCCACAGCGAGACTGACACTCCGCGCGCGACTCGAAATTGTTGGCGTTGCCGTCACAGCCCGTGTAGAAGAACCACTCGCATCGGCCGGTGTCAGTGCTGAACGCCCAGCGGCGCAGTCTACCCCTGCAGGTGCTGCCGGGTTCTACGGGCAGCCGGCAGATGGCTCCTCCTTCGCCACCGCCCGCGCAGCTCTGCAAACACTCCTGCCACGCAAAATCGCCCGTCAGTTTGATCTAAAAGTCAACAGTACTCAAATCCCATTTGCCCAGAAGCACGTCACATGGCTTAACGGAAACTACCTCGCATGCCATTCCAACAAGAGACAGGCGGGCGGGTAGGACGGCAGGTAGCCCTGAAAACGACGGATTCAGGTAGACATTAGAAACAAGCATCCGCCGTTCGTATCTCAGTCTTTCTTCGTCCTGCATCCTGGCGACACCCCAGTTCTCTGGGGAAGGCTGCCTGCGCACATGCGCAGATTTAAGTGCATTCAGGTGAGGACCCGTCCGAAGGCCGAGCACACATCCCGCACAGAAGTCACGGCGGAGTCTCGGCAGAGGACCCCCGCAAGCGAGCAGCTTTGTCTAAATACTATTCACTCTCCTTCATTCCAACGAACTAAAATTGTCGTCAACACCTCTAGTCCATACCAAACCAAAATTGGAAGCAGACCTGCATCTCTCATAGCGATACGCGCAGTCCAATTGAGAATCAATGACAAGCCGCTATATGCTGGTGAACCAGCATCCTCTGTCTGGCTTAGGCGCACACTTCATCTTCGTCTTGCCCACGATGCATGCAAATCAGTTGAAGCAACGGCCTGGTCACCTCAAAACAAAAAGGTTTTCGTTTGTTATTTACATAAAAAAAGAGATATATATATATATACATATATATATATATAATATATATATATATATATATATATATATATATGTATATATATATATATATATATATATATATATATATGAAGGACTATGACCAGCTCACCATATCACCTAAACAATAAAAAAGGCTTCAGTTGTATATATCTATATATAATATATATATATATATATATATATATATATATATATATATATACATATATATATATATACAATATATATATATACATATATACATATACATATATACATATCAATATAATATACAACACACATATATATATATATATATATTATATATATAATATATCTATATATATATATATATATATATATATAGTCATTGAAGGACTATGACCAGCTCACCATATCACCTAAACAAATAAAAAGGCTTCAGTTTTCTCTCTCTCGCTCTCGCTATCCCCCTGTCTTTGTCTCCTCTCTCCTCTCTTCTCTCTCTCTCTCTCTCTCTCTCTCTCTCTCTCTCTCTCTCTCTCTCTCTCTCTCTCTCTCTCTCTCTCTCTCTAAATCCATTGCATACATCACTGCTTGTTTTTTTCGTGTGACGTTTGTCGGCATGTGCCTACAGCGGACGTCCAAAGGCCAGCCCCACCTCTCTGGTGGAGTACATGTTGTCGCCGCTGAGGCAGCCGTCGTCAACCAGTGTGAGGCACACGCCGCGGTTAGCCGCGTAGAAGAAGACGGTGCGCTGGCGGCCGGGCGTGCAGCCGAACACCGGGCGCGGCTCGCGGTCACAGGAGGCCGGGCCCGGCCGCGGCCGATCTGGCCCGGCCTGGCACGAGCGTTCGCACGCCCGCCGGCTGCGGTAGATGTTGGGCCCCACTTCACAGCCGGACGACTCGAAGTCCTCACACCTGAGCAGAAGGGCGGGGTGAGGTTAGGAAGTTCAACATAGCGGGGGCAGAGGGTGCACGGCCCATCATGATAATTTTTTTCAAGTGTTTTCAAGTTTCGGTCTAGCAGCGGGCAAATTCAGGTACCGTCTGATGGTACAATGCCACTGGCATGAGCGTAAACTAAGCACCAAATGTCTGCAACCTAAATAATACCGTCGCTGAAAGGGCCATTCGTGTACTGTGCAGTGCTGTGTTTGTTTACAGTGTCATTGGTAATATTTGCTGTTCCTGAGTTCCATCCGTAAGAAAGCAATGCATGATGCAGTCTACGCAAATGACCAGCATTCCATGCTACCACTAGCTGAATGCAGCGCGCCACACCTGAGCGTCTCGGCGTTGAAGGTCCAGCGCATCTCCGGCCGCTCCTGCGGCTCGCAGAGGTCGTCCAGCACGGGCGGCTCCATGCAGGCGTTCGACAGGTTGCCGGCGTTACTCAGCCGGAGACCGCGGCACGCGCCGAGGCAGGCGGCCAGCGTCTCGAAGCTGTTGGCGTTGCCGCCGCAGCCGCCATACTCGAACGGCTGACAGCGGCCCGAGCGCACACTGAACGCCCAGCGGCGCTCGCGGCCGGCGCACTCGCCGCGCTCGGCCGGCAGCGCGCAGACGGCGCGCGCCGACTCCGGCACGACACACTCCTCGCGGCAGTCGGCGGCCAACCGGAAGCTGTTCTCGGACGGGCAGTCGCTGCTGGTGCGCACCGCGCAGCGGCCGGCGCGCGCGTCAAAGTAGACTCTACGCGCCTGTCGCGGCTCGTTGCACGTGCCATCGCCGCTCGGCGGGGCGAGGCAGCGCGCCGGCCGCTCGCTGCTCTCACCGCAGCGCGCGTTGCACGCAGCCAGGGTTTCGAAGTTGTTGGCGTTACCGGCGCAGCCGCCGTAGGTGAAGTCGCGGCAGGCTCGGCGCGACGGGTCGTAGTAGAAGCGCGGCAGCGCCGCGAAGCATGGTCCGGCCTCCGCGGGTAGGCGGCACAGCTCTGGCAGCGAAGCGGAGAGCTAACGTAAGAGTCAAACACGAAACGACGCAGGGATCGCTGCTGCTCGAAGAAGTAACCAGCTTCTGGCGACATTTTGAGTGTAACATTATATGGCCGCGCAAACTGTGGCACTCAGTGAATGGTGTATTGTAACCTAACCGCAAGGCGGCTCGCAGTGTGTGTGCGTGTCGTTGTGGCTTTACGACGCACTCAGTTATTGAGGCCATATGGCGTTGCCTGCCTTTCACCCTGGCAGGAAGGACGGGCACCGCGGGGAATGGAACCGCGTACTTCTGGCTTCCCAGACGCGCAATTGTTAACGCAGACGCGTCAACCACTACGCTATCGGCACCCCAAAGTTGGCTTCCGGAGATCGATGTCATGTGACAGACCCACCTTCGCTGGGGGTCGGGCCAGGGCCAGGGCCAGGGCCAGGGGTGGCTGGGCAGGACCGCTCGCATTCGCTGCGGGTCTCAAAGTTGTTTGAGTTGCCCCCGCAGCCGCTGTAGATGAACTGCTGGCACCGTTTGCTGGTGTCGTCAAAGTAGTACCGGGTGAAGCTGCCCGCACAGGGTCCCACCAAGGAGCGTTGTCTGCAGATTGCGCCGCCTGGAGGCGTGGAATGACAGGAGTAGGAATTACAGCATGTCCACGAAGGTAGTCCAAGAGTGAAACAAGCAAGATAACCATGATAGCCATTCGTGATGCACTCATGCTACCCATTTCATGAACCGGAGGCAAGAATGTTTATAATGACAGCGATCTCTGGCAGTGCGATATGAGGCAGTGCGGCTTAGGCTGCTTAGACTAAGCCAGTGACTTGATATGCAGCTGATCTATGTCCATCTGCCAGAAAGCAGCCCTCCGGCGCCGTCCCGCGTCAGCCCATACCCGGTTCGATCTTGCTGCCGGTGCATCGGCTGGTGCACTCCCGAGCAGTCTCAAAGTTGTTGCCATTGCCCTCGCAACCGCCATAGGAGAACTGCTGGCAGCGGCCGGTGGCAGCGCTGTAGAAGTACCGCTCCACCCGGCCCGTGCAAGGACCCGCATCCGGTGGGAGGAGGCACACGTCTGCAGCACGGCAGGTCAGGTCAGACCAGTCGACAGGCTGGTCGCCGCGCGTCTATCAGTGACATCACGTGAGCTCTTGAAAATGTGGTAAGGGGGCACGACCTGGACACAAGATCAGACCACGCTGGCTTTGGCGGCATGTTTCCAGAACGAGTCGACCCCCGACACTCATGTCTGTCTGCGCCTTCGCTCTATGTGCTTTTTACGCTTACTCTAACCAGGCCAGCCGGCCGCTGCATTTTACCTTTTAAATTTTATTTTTGATGTTTTCCTCTGAATTGAGGGCTTTCTTAAACGAACCTTAACTTTCATGTTTCCGAAATGCAAGTTTTAAAGACGGCTACTGGATTTCATACACTTGGAATTCAAGCCCAATTTAGGATCTATTGACGCCTGCCATGCAAGAAAAAGACGACCTTTCAAAGGCATCTAATTTTGTCAACGCAGCTTGCTTCAGTACTGAAACATGGCTTCCAGCCGCCACACTGAGCGGACAGCGTGCCTCTGACTCAAGCGCCGATCTGGCGGATCTTACTCTGACCTTGATTCGCTTCGCCGGTGACGCCTCGGCACAGCTCCAGACACTCGCGTCGGCTGGCGAAGTTGTTGTCGCTGCCGCCGCAGCCGGTGTAGTCGAACTGGAAGCACTCGCCGGTGGTCGAGTCGTACGTAAAGCGATCCACGCGGCCCAGACAGTTGCCCGGGTCCGCCGACGGTGCCAGGCACATCTCTGGCGGACGGGAACGGCCACGTGGTTCACAACAGCGCCAGGTACGTCTCTGGTGAACGGGAGCGGCCACGTGGTTCACAACAGCGCCAGGCACGTCTCTGGTGAACGGGAGCGGCCACGTGGTTCACAACAGCGCCAGGCACGTCTCTGGCGGACGGAGAGCGGCCATATGGGCTACAACGGCGCCAAGCAGATCAGTAAAGGGAGAAGGGGTAGGAAGTAAGAGGACGGCTTAGCATGACAGCAAGATGGGGCACTTCGCTTCTTTGACACGCATCTACCAAAACAATATCCGTGGTTGTAAACTAGAATCGGAAGCAGTCACAACGCTTTTTCCTTTGACCTCCACGCTCCCGCTAAGCGCAGTTGAGCATGTTATTTTTTGCCGTGACATTAATGAGTGCGACACGACTGATTTCGTTTTTCGACTCAGCATGAGCCCGCACTGGCGTGACGCGCCCTCTAAAGCCCGTCCGACCCCGTCACCACCCACCTCTCTCACCCGTGTGATTAACAGCGCCCTCTGAAGCCCGCCCGACCCCTGTCGACCCCTATCACCCGTCTTATTAACAGCACCCTCTGAAGACCGCCCGACCCCTGTCGACCTCTCTCACCCGTCTGATTAACAGCGCCCGCAGGACAGCTGCGCTCGCAGCTCGACTGCGTGGCGAAGTTGTTGTCGGTGGCGCCACAGCCGCCGTACAGCAGGCTGACGCAGCGGCCAGCAGGCACGCTGTAATAGAAGCGGCGGAGACGGGCGGTGCAGGAGGGGGCGCGCGGGTCGACCGGCGGCGCCGAGCAGTCCACCTCCGGCCGCTCGCCGCTACCGTCCGTCGGGCTCACGTCCCGGCACGTGCTCATGCACTCCCGCATCGTCTCGAAGTTGTTCTGCGGACGGACACGCCGTGAGGTGAGGTGGAAAGGCTGCGACCGGGGGGAGGGGGGTGCGGGAGCTGGTGGTGTCGTGAGATGTAGGAGAGAGGAGAACGAGCGTACCGTCTGCTGGGGAGGCAGCGGCAGCCGAGAGGACAGGTCGTGCTTGGTTGCATTCTTTGCAAACGCAGACAAGGCCAACCGAGATGAGCTTAGCTCTGGCCTTGGCTAGAGACAGTGCTGATGCAGCTCCTCTCTCTCAGATTTTGTTAAGATACCTGTCTGGCATACTTTGCAATCATGCCTAAATTTTAGCGGCATATAGGACATCCGTTACATACCATATCGGCACACAAAGGTGTCTCTAACGTTTCCGGTTCCCACGTAGCGGTGTTTTTTTTCTTGGGGGGGGGGGGGGGGGGGAACACTTCACGACGATTTACGGCCAGTGTGGGCGGCTAGCGACTACAGACGATTTCGCTACCGCACGCGACTGGCTCACAGTGCTTCATTTACGAAGCCATAGATCATAAATATTTTATCAAAATGCGTACAACTACCATCGTTGCACTTAGAATGAAACAAAAATACGCTTGCCTAGATTTCGTGCCGCTACAGGGTATTGTCTCATAGATATGACGACTTTCAGGTGAAGTAACTATTTTGGGAAAATTTGACCTTTGTCCTGGTATCATAGGGTCAGTTAGCAAAAGAGAGTACATTGTCTATCGCGAAATCTCGTTAAGAACAATCCGTTGGTGCCTTTTACTCCATCTCTACCTTTGTCTTAGCTTGGAAACGGCATGGAGCAAAGGCACATGGATCCCAACCAGGCCGTGTTCTTCAAAATTTGGAATTAGAACGCAGGTTGAAAAAAGCAATGAATGATTATGTATTTCACGACACAGTGATGATTATTGGAGAATCGTACATTAACAATTCGTTTAAATAAATCACGGCGTTGGAGATTGCCAGCATGCACGATAACAGCAGGTAAATCTGCGGAAGGTCTCAAAGGTGTGTAGACACTTTGGGAGCTAGCATTACAACCTCACCGGCTGGATGTACTAGGAAAATATCCCCCACTAGGCCTCGAATCAGCGACCCTTCTGTGTCTCTCAGCATCACCGCACATGCACCATACGTACGGCGTTGCCGCGGCAGCCTCCGTAGATGAAGCGGCGGCAGCGGCCGGAGGCTGGGTCATAGTAGTAGCGGTCGATCTGAGCGTCACAGCGGCCCATGTCTGGGCGTAGCCGACACACACGGTCTGCCGGAGGTGACGTCACGGTGACGTCACTGGCGGTGACGTCCGACGGGGAGCACTGGCATGGGGCCGGGAATGACGTCATACTGTACCATCAATGCGTCAGGTGGTGATCGAGGCCAGGCGAGTGTTTTGAAGAGACGTCGAAAAGAACTAGCACGAATCCCCAAGCACTGGCACAGGGCAGGCATCCTGCTTCGGGGTGTGCCGAGGCCGTTAGTGCTGTTAGATAAAGCGCTTAAAAGAGGAACTAACAACACTTTTGGTCACATTATCGTTATAGGACAATGGGCCACTTCCGCAGCCGGCTCTGGCCATCGTAACCACCAGAGGATGCCAAAATAATCATGCAGCATTTAGACAAGACCTCCGATACAGCAAACACCTGCCAGACGCAGCAATTAGGTGGGAGCGGAGCTTTCTATGCTTCTCTGTAAACACACGGGGATGGTGGCAAAAGGCATTGACTCGCAAACCTGCTACGATTGAGACATTATGCGATTTGCATACACCAAGGCCATTACTTGTGTAGGCAGGATATGGGAGTTTTCTGTCTGTTGTTGCCAAACACCATAAGACACACCAAGTGGAGGGTCTTTAAACCTCACGGGCCTGCCGCACGAGAACTGATGTGCAAAGGTCGCATACATCTGCATCACCGTAAAACATTTTGCATTTCAGTGGTGCATGTGCACAATGTATGCAGAGGAGAACAACGGTGCAACAGTTAGTGAATTTGAGTTAGAGTTAGTTAGAGTTTTGTGCTGCATGCCACCGCAGGCTCTGCCGCCCACCGTGCTAGAAGGAGGAATCAGTGTGACAAGAAAACGCAAGGCCTCGCGGGTAGCAGAAACAACATGTACATCCCTGAGCGCCGACTCCAGCTGCGCCCCCACCCTCCAAACAATGCTAGCAATCTCAATGCGGAAATAAAAAGCGCTCACCCTCGCAGAACAGAGCCACTCCGAAATCCAGCACCAACGCACCTGCCTGGCCGGCCGGCCCGTCACTCAGACAGGCGCGCTCACACTCGGACAGCGTGCGGTAGTTGTTGGCCGTGACGCCGCAGCCGTCGAACACCACGCGCTCGCAGCGGCCGCTCGCCTCGCTGTACGTGTAGCGCTGGATGCTGTCGAAGCAGCGGCGGGAGCCCTGGCGCTTGGGCGGGCCGCGACACTGCCGGTCGCGGCGGCCGGGCTCGGCGCGGCGGCCGCACGCCTCGGCGCAATCGGCCCGGTCGGCGAAGTTGTTGGCGTTGCCCTCGCAGCCGCCGTAGAAGAACTTGCGGCAGCGGCCGATCACCGGGTCGTAGTGCCAGCGCGTCTGCTCGCCCAGGCACGGGCCGGCGTCGGGCGCCAGGCTGCACGCGTCGCCCAGTTGGGAGAAGGCGCCGACGCGGCGCGCGCGCACGCCGGTGTCGTCCTCGACGAGCGCCGCCTCGGCTGGCGACGGCATGTCCTCGGCCGGCGGCCGGCAGGTGGCGGCGCATGCCTCCAGCGAGAGGAAATTGCTGGCCTGGCCGTCGCAGCCCGAATAGCGGAAAGCGCGGCAGCGACCGGTGGCACCGTCATAGTAGAAGCGCATCACGCTGGAGCTGCAGGAGCCCTCCTGCTTGGGCGCGAGGCAAGCGGCAGCCGCCGGCGCCGCGGCCGCCGTGGCGTTGTTGCAGGTGCGGTAGCATGCGTCCAGGCTGCGGAAGTTGTTGAGGTTGCCGCCGCAGCCGCCGAACAGGAAGCGGCGGCAGACGCCGAGCGCGGCGTCGAGAAGAAGAGGCGCGGACTGTCGGCGCCGCAAGTGCCCGGGTCGGGTGGCAGCATGCACGGGTCGTGGTCCTCGTCCGCCGGCATTCTCCGCCTTGTGCGTCAGCCATCTCTGATGACACGGGCAGAAACCCGCGTCGGTGAAGGACGATACCGACCACGGTACAACAGAGTGTGGTGGGGTAGTTAGAAATACGACTGCCCAGCCCCAAAACAAATATTAGATAATACGTTATGGTCACTTTCGCTTATAGCGTGGCCTTAAGGCTTGGTGATGCGTGCTTGTGCACCGAGGATGGCCAGCGAACCACACCATGCCTTTGTGGTGCTCAGAACGGCAAGCATTTCACCTCTCTTTCATTTCTGACGATAACCACAAGTTCGGCGGCACTGGAGGCAACAGTTGACGGCATGCAATTTCGATCGGATCAAATAGCCGCTGCATTTAGTGACAGCTGGAGTGAGGTTTGACTGTACTTGATACGATTCAAAAGCTGGGAAACACTGTGTTTTGTTGTGCGACAAAGCGAACGTTTAGCATAGCGACCGATGCTGCGTGAAGAAGCGCATCGTATAGTCGGTGATTTCGGAGGAATCGTCTATGCCGTGCTTAAAGGTAATTAGAACAAATGTTTCCCTAATTGGTGAGATACTCACACCCGACTGCATTTTTGGAAGATACTAGGAGCGACCATACGCTTTGATTCTTAGTGCGAGCGAGCGTCGTACTTGTTGATCGTCAGATAATATTAAACGCACTTGTTGACACTCGAAAAATGCTCTGACGAGCCTGATAATACCGATATAGGACGCTTTCTGTGCTTCTTAGAACAGGTGCTTACCGTGCTCCTGTACGAAATGCTTGCGCCTGTAAGTGGCGTATTACCGTTCTGTGATCGGCTCAGACAGGCGTACTATCTCTGAAATCGGCTCAGAGCGGACGATCACTGTTTTGTGATCGGCTCAGAGGGGCATATTACCGCTTGGAGATCGGCACGGGAGCAACGATCACTTTATGTTATTCTGCATCAGCAACGGTTACCGTGTTTGGC